CGACAACGCCGATCAGCACTTCCCCAACGCAACTGCGCCAGCGCCAGCAGATGCGGCGCCTGAAACCAGTTCGACTTCCAGCGCACGCGGTGGTCGTGGGAATGGTGGTAGCAGCAGCGGCAGCGGAGGTTGCGCGCGGCACAGGCTGCATCTGAGCATGGACCGCCCCCAGGTGGCAGCGTTCGCGTCGCTGCTGCAGCGGCAGCAGGCGCAGGTGGCATCTGAGGCGGGCGTGGGCGACGGCGACCTGCTGTACAGCTTCAAGCACACGTCCAACGGCTTCGCCGCGCGCCTCACCCCGCCAGGCGTGGCGCCTGCAGCGCCATCCCGCCGTGGCGTCCGTGCGCCGCAGCCGCGTGTTCCAGCGGCGGACTCGCCCAAGTTCCTGGGGCTCCCCGGAAAGGTGTGGCCCGCCGTGGGCGGACAGAGCAAGGCGGGCGACGGCACGGTGGTGGGGATCATCGACACGGGCATCTGGCCCGAACACCCCTCGTTCTCCGACAAGGGGTTTAGTTCGAACTTCCCCTCTGGGTGGAAGGGTAAATGCGAGCAGTCCAACTCGTTCCGATGCAACAACAAGGTGATCGGCGCCAAGGCGTTCTACACCGGGTTTCAGCGGGCCAGCGGCAAGCCCGCGCTGGCGAACGACTGGCTCACGCCACGAGACGCGGACGGGCATGGCACGTGGTGCGCGGGCGCGGCGGCGGGGAGCCCGGTGGGGCTGCAGGGCGGCGGGCAGGTGAGCGGCATGGCGCCGGCCGCGCGGATCGCGGCGTACAAGGTGTTCTGGACGGACCGCAGCAGCGGGGAAATGTATGCGGACGAGTCAGACATCATCGCAGCCGTCAATCAGGGCGTGGCGGACGGCGTGGATGTGCTGTCGCTTGTCCCTGGGGGGCATGGATCCCAACGACAACTATTTCAACGACCTGGCTTTTATGCGGGCCAACGCTGCCGGGGTGTTCGTTGCCTTTGCTGCTGGTAATTCTGGCGCTCCGGGCCAGTCGCAGGGGGGTGGTTACCGCACGGTGGACAACTTCGCACCCTTCTTTCTGACTGTGGGCGCCAGCACCATCGCACGGGGAGCGTCCCTAGCTTCGGCCGCAGCAGCAGCCGGCACTCAGTCGCTCCCCCTCAACGCCATTGCCGGCGCCGCCAGCACCAACAGCACTGTCAACTGCAACGGCACTGGCAGCGGCAACAGCACAGGCAACGGCACCATGCCAGGTGATGGCAGCGGCACCACTTTCACTGCCGACGGAGGTATCACCTTCGCCACCTCCTCCTCCTCCGCCCCGGTGGTTGCTGACTTCTCGTCCCGCGGCCCCCTCATACCGCCCTCTGCCACGGCCCAGCCCCCCCAACCAGGCAACGCCATCCTCAAGCCCGACATCATCGGCCCCGGCGTGGACCTCCTAGCCGCTGCTCCTGGGAAGAAAGTCGGCGACCCCGGCGCCCTCGCCCGCCTCTCGGGTACTTCCATGGCCACCCCTCATTTGGCGGGGCTGGCCGCGTTAATTATCCAGAAATTCCCCAACTGGAGCCCGGCGCAGGTGATGTCGGCGATGATGACGACGGCGCGGGTGACTGACACGAGCAGCAGCCCCATCAAGAGCTCCACTGGCGGGGATGCCACCCCCTGGGAGATGGGGGCAGGCCATGTGTTCCCCCCTGCCATGCTCAACCCCGGCCTCACCTACGACGCCCGAGACAAAGACTACCAGAATTTCCTGGCCGGGCAGGATCTGACCCGGGCGAAAAAGGAGTTCCCAGGGGTGTCGCTCTCCCCCCTGGCTGTGCGCAATCTCAACCTTCCCACCATCACTCTGCCGCGCCTGCAGGGCTCGATTCAGGTGACTCGCACGGTCACCAATGTGGGAGGGGCCCAGTCCACATACAGTGTATCTGGGAAGGCGCCAGCAGGGGTGAAGGTGACAGTGGCGCCTAAGAGCCTCACGGTTGGTGCCGGGCAGAAGGCGAGTTATACTCTGACGCTCACCGTGGATACACCCAGCAAGGACTTCAAGTACGGGTATATAGTGTGGGCGGATGACCAGGGCCACAGCGTGCGGTCCCCCCTCGTGGTGCAGCCGCTCTCGCGCTAAAGGGGGAGAGGGTGAGTGCTTGCTGCTCTTGCAGTAAGGGCATGGGTGCTGTGCGGTGCTGTCCTGGCTGCTAGTGGTGCGGCTGATGCTACGGCTGGGAGCGTGTAGTGGGTCATTGGTCGAAATGTGATGGATGGACACGGGGGTTCAGCCAGGCAAGGGCAAGGTTTGGTTCGTCCTGGCAGCCTCACATGTTACAGGGATGACCTCTGTCCCTGGCCACGTGAAGACCCTGCTTTTAGGCTCCAGCCGGTTAAGGCTATTGCCTCAACTCTACAGCGTTTAGGAGCATGTCAGGATGTGACCGTACCACCTGTATACATGGTGCCATTATTTATTCCAGGTTTTGTTGGCATCTCTGCCTCTGCATGTCCATTTCTCTAGACCAAGAGTGCCATACAGGAGAAACTGCACAGATACTCTTGCTATCTTCCCCCATCACTGCTACAATAGCTTTGACAATGTAACCCTATCCCCCGATATAGGCGATAGTACACCCGATATTCAGCCTACTCTCAGGCCCGTGCCGCAAAACCAGCGGGCTGCCCGAGAGATATTTCAGCACAGCTGCCCGAAGCACGCCCGTCCCGAGTCCATGGTCAATGAACAGCACGGCACCAGGCGGCCTAGACTGCACTGCAGGTCCACTTCCGCTAGGGCATCCTCAACACTCCTGCCCTAGCGGGATTTGCAACACCAGGCAGCCTAGACTGCACTGCCCCTAACGTCCACTGTGTTGCATGCTGTCTGCACTGCTGCTTCCCTCACTGCTGGCAGAGACGAAGACGATAAAGTTGAGGAGAGGGAAGATGGGGATGGGAATCGACCCCCTCGCTTTGAGGCGCTGTTGCCATTCGTGTTACTGCTACCATCGATGCCATCGTCGTCTTGCTCCCAACGGCCATCAAACATCCTGTGCCCCTCTCCTTCCTGCTGCCTCTCCATCAGCCATGGTCTGTGGCCCAGCACCACCACCAGCATTATTATCAGCTTCTGCAGGAAGCAGGTCTCCTCTCTGCACTCGCAATCTCAGATTCCCTAGCTGTACAGTCACCAGCCGAGCCGCTGGTGCCGAGCCTGAACCCTCTCCCGAGCCTTCTCTGGACCACAGCCCATTGCCACCACTGTACCACGCATACTGCTGCCAAACCCTCACATACACCCCCTCCCCCACAGCAGGGACCCAATCCGCTCCTCTTGTATCTGCCGAGCCTCCAGACCACCAACTGGAGCACCCGAACCTGGGGCAGAATCAGGTTCAGGAAAGATCACGGTCAGTCCTGCCGCTGCTGCCAGGTCAGCACAGGCCCGGTCGGTTGCTGCTCGCTCCGGCACACCAGCAAGGGAAACCTCCTGGAAGGAGGCAACGACACTAGAGATCTCCTCCCTCGCTGCTAGCACCTCCTCCTCCTGTCTCTCTGGTACCGCCGCTACCACTGCAGCTCTCGAAGCGCCAAAGACTGCTCTTTCTGCCTGTTTTTCTGGTCCTTCGTGGTATGTTGGGCTGGGAAGTCGTTGAGAAGCCTCTCTGAGTCTCGCCTGGCCTCTGCTGCTTCCCCTGCAGCCTCCACATTCGACTGCCATTGCTGCTGCAGGGACGCCAGTATTCCCAGCTCCTCACCCTCTCCCCTCCCCCCTCCCATGGCGGCATACTCCTTCTCACTCTCCCTCCCCTCCCTCCTCCCGCTCCTCCTTCTTACTTGTCTCACGAGCCAGCCTGGCGGCTCTGGTGAGGAGGGGGGGGGGAAGACCGTGGGAAGCAGCGAGGGAGAGAGCGTGGGAGGTGCCGGGGCGACCCCAGAGGATGTTGACGGAGGGGCGCAGGGGGACTCGGTCAAACGCCGCACTTGCATTCTCAAAGGCGGGGGTCGGAGGACTGCAAGGGAAGAAGAGAAGGGGTGGGAAGGGGGTGTTGGGAGGGTGGTGAGAGGGAGAGGGGCATGAGGGAGGGGGGATGGGAGGTGCCAGGGAGACCGCAGAGTATGTTGAATGACGGGGGCAGGGAGACTCGGTCGAACACCACGCTCGCATTCTCAAAGCGGGGGTCGGTGGACTGCAACGGAAGAAGAGAAGGGGTGGGAAGGGGGTGCTGGGAGGGTGGTGAGAGGGAGAGGGGCATGAGGGAGTTGGGATGGGAGGTGCCATGAAGTCCCCAGAGTACGTTGAATGACGGGGGTAGGGAGACTCGGTCGAACGCCACACTTGCGTTCTCAAAACAGGAATCAGTGGGCTGCAAGGAAAGAAGACAAGGGGTGGGAAGGGGGTGTTGCTGGGTGGAAGCCAGTGTGAGCCACCATTGGTATGCGCCTGGTGTCACAGTGCGACCCTCCAATCGGTCATTCAGCCGCAGTTTATCATATCTTGAGCTTCTTGAGGTCGGCGTAGTGAGTGGTGGCGAATGTGAGGACTTCACATCCCACCAGATGTTTCAAAAAGGCAGCTGTGAATGCAGCACCCTCTCAGGGGTCCGTGCCACTGCCCACCTCTGTTCATGAAGCCACACACTGTACTCAAAGACTCACCTTGAGCTTCTTGAGGCACATACCTTGGTTGGGGGTTGTTGATGGGGTCGTAGACCTGTGACGACCCCTCAGACCTTGGTCTCTGCCACTTCCACATGCTCAAACACTCACTCTGGGCTTCTTGAGGTCGGCATAATTTTGAGGAGCTTCAAAAGTAATCTCAGTTCACGCAGATTTTATATGGGGAATATATCCATTTCTTGAAGCTGCTCAGAGACTCACCTTGAGCTTCTTGAGGTCGGCATAGTGAGTAGTGGTGAGTGTGAGTCCTTCAGCACCAGCCAGGTGTTTCAAGAGGGCAGATGCGAGCGCTGCACCCTCTGAGGGATCCGTGCCACTGCCCACCTCGTCCAGGAGCATGAGAGAGGAGGAGGAAGAAGAGGAGGAAGAAGGGGATGAGGGGGAAGGAGCAAGAAGGATGTGTGAGACGCGGTGCATGTGGGCGCTGAAGGTGGACAAGCTCTGCTCCAACGACTGCTCGTCACCGATGTCATCCACCACCCGGTCAAACCATGGTAGCACCGCCACACACCCATTCACACCGCTCTTTCCGCTCGGATCCACTGCCCCCTCACCCTGTCTGCCTCCACTCTGGTCTGCTTATTCTTCCTCTCCTCCCTCCTCCCTCCCCCCCTCTGCTCCTATTCCCTGCATCCCCTCCATTCCTCCCTCCCCGCCCTGCTCCCCTCCTCTGCCTCGCCCCCTTGTCAGTGGCAGGAAAAGCCTGACTTTAGCCATGAGTGTGGCAATCCCAAGGGTCTTGCGGGCGGCGGTCTTGCCGCCCGCATTGGGGCTTGAGATGACCACCACTGCAATGCCAGGCGGGACAAGCACGTCTATGGGCACAGGCAGGGCTGGCATTGCTGCTACATCCTTCCCTGCTACTCCTGTAGCTCCTGTGCCTCCAGCCGTTCCTGCTCCTCTTGCCTCTCCTGGAGCTCCTGCAGCTCCTGTTTCTCCTGCGGCTCCTGTGCCTCCTTCTGCTCCTGCTGCTCATGCTGTTGCCTTAACGCCTAGTACACCTACGGTGTTGACGAGAAAGCCCCGCCCTCGCATGAGTGGGCACCTCGTCGTGCACAACACCCGTGCGCACCTGGTTCTGGTTGGCATGACGAACTGGGGAGCGTCGCATTGCAACGCAGTTCAAGCAGCAGGTGTGATCGGCAAACTTGCAGTACAACGGCAAAGTCCAAGTTGGCGAAGCTCAAGTCGGCGAAGTTCAGGTTCGCGAAAATCTGAGCAGCGAAGTTCTGCGCGGCGAACTGCAAAGGCGTCGAAACTGCAAAGCGGCAAAACCGCAATACTGCATCTAACGCCGGTGTTGCGGAACAATTGCGCAGCTGAGCACATTCGTTGCGAAACAAAAGTGCGCGAATTTCTCCACTACGGAAAACGCATGCGATTGAGACATTGGAGCTACCTGACCACATTTGTGTAGCAGTGCAAATGTGTACGCAACGAACTTGTTAGACCCTGAGCACCTACCATTGTCACATGCGTAGTTAGGAAACCTAGACATGTGCGCAGGGACAGCTTTTCCTCCTGCCATCATTGACTTCGCAAAGCGTAGCTTTGCCACGGTTTGGGACAGCGCAACATTATGGCTGTTGGGCTGAGAAAAGCCCAAGGATCTTTTCAGAAAACGAAAGTCCTTGTAACAGAATGCTTGATAACACGGTTGTACTGGTACAGTATGTAAGAACAAGTGATTGATTATAGCAAAGGGATACAAGGGTTTATTTAATAATACAGGAGAATACGAAGAGTCTAACTGATTATGCACTTCGAGGGGTACATTCCCTTTACGTCTCGATAAGAGCGACTCGGGTAACCACCCGTACTGTAATACCGGGACGGTTATTTGTGCTTGCTGTCGTGCTGACTTGAATCTTGTACTTTTGACTGTTGAGTTGCGAGGTCAATGGTCTGCGACCGTTGCCCTTTCGCAACCTCTGCGAGGTGTCGTCAGACTACGTCAACCGTCAGGGATACTGTAGCGGTCTTGACTCGGTAATCTTCGATGTTGTGTCAATCGCGTATTCGTTACAGTTACGCGATACTCCTGAAATGTGCTTAAGTCCTTCTATCTTTTCCAAGAATGGCACCGCGCAGCGTTGTGACGCAGCGCATTGTGACTGGTTGTTCTAGGGATCTTAGGTGTCACAGTATCGAATTGATCGACGAAAATTTTCCCTATCAATTGATTCAAGGCGCAATAATACTTCCAAGGTATATCAGGTAACCATGTTTATCATATCCAAAGGGATTATGACAGGATTGCACTAGATATAGCGCACCGGTACATCCCGAGCCTGCCAGATAAAATAATTATAATAGCAGGATAACCCAAAGGATAATGGAAAATGAGGAATTGGTAACCAAATCAGACAAGATGAAGACCGAATTAATCAGGAGAAAAAGAAGAACGAGATAGCGGAGAAATATGGAAATGAGAAAGAAGTGTAACGGGGTCGTACTCTCACACTCCCCCCCCCTCAAAGCTGGTGCTTGACAAGGTAGTCGCGAAGAGGACGACGGGCGTTACCCATAGCAGATTCAGGGACCCAGCTATCCTTAGAAGGATCATAACCCTTCCAACGGATGAGAAGCTCAAAGGGGTCATTCCGACGACGAGAGTGTGCAAGCACAAACTCGACCTCGCACTCGGGTTCATCATGGACGAGGACGGGCGGGGGGGCGGCGGCGGTTGGCGTCCTGTGAAGATCATGTTGGGATCTCTGTAGGGCTTCAGAAGTTGGACATTTAAGGCGTTGTGAATATTCTAGGTAGCTGGCAGGCATACGCCGAATCTAACAGGGGAGACCTGTGCTTCAACGAGGAAGGGCCCGCAAAAGCGACGTCGTAGTTTGGATGAGATATGGCTGATGTCGAGATTGCGGGAGTCATGGTGTGGTCATTGAGGTGGCGATCGGTGTGGCACTCCTGCTGCTGCTGAATGCCGAGGAGGCGTTTGTGGGTCCGATCCCAAAGCTGATGCATGGTGGTGATGAAGTCGTGTGCAGGTTGGACTGTGGTTGGTGCTGTCAATTTCTGTGGGGTGAGTTGGTTGCGTCTGTAACAGAGGAAGAACGGCGTCTGTCCAGTAGTGGCGTGAGTGGCGTTGTTGTAGGCAAACTCCAGGACAGGCAGATGCAAGTTCCATTTAGAGATTTCGTCCTTGCATGCTGCACGGAGGAGTTGCTCTACAATTCGGTTAAGACGCTCGGTCTGTCCATCTATCTGGGGATGGTATGCGGATGACATGGCGAGTTTGGTCTTAAGCAGAAACATCAGTTCCTTCCGGAACTTACTGGTGAACTTAGGTCTCGGTCAGAGATCAGTGTGGTTAGAATGCCATGCTACGAGATGATGTAGCGAACGAACAGTTGTGCTGTCTCCTCGGTGCGTGATGTCGAGTATGTCGGGATGAAGTGCCCCATTTTGGAAAACTTGTCGATGACGACAAGGATTGCGTTATGACCGCTTCTGGAAGTTGGTAACCCGGTTATGAATTCCAGGCTAACCACTTGCCATGGCTGTTCTGGGACAGGAAGAGACTGTAGCAGTCCTGCGTTTTCTGCTTGCTGCTCTTCATCCGCCGACATGTATCCTACGAGGTGATGAATTTTGTGCGTCATCTGCCATGTGGGACCAGTAGTAGTGTTTTGCAATTCCGGTGAGCGTCTTGTTGCTACAGATGTGTCCCGCGTATTGGGGATCGTGGTATTCTTCGAGTAGTAACTGGCGCAAAGGTGGGTAGTTGGGTGCCCAGTACGTGATGTCACTGTCCCACTGTAGCAGATGTGACTTCTCTGCCAAGGGAATTTCGGGGTCAATGGTGTACCCGTGTGTGAAGATTTCCTTGAGTAGCGCGTTCATCCGTTCGACCTGGATAGTGGCAACATGTCCAGGCCGGCTGAGAGCGACTGCTTTGTTTTTGTGGTCGGGATTGTACACGATGTCGTAGTGGAAGTGCGTCTCGAGGAAGCCCTTTTGTATTCATGATGGGGAGTGCGGGTTTCCAGCGCAATGGACCAATTTGTAGGTGTAATACTGGTTCGTCGTAGACTGGTAACTTGCTGTCGTCCACCATCGTTGCATGGAATGCTGAAGGCTTATACTTTTCCTGAAGTCAGTTGATTGCTGCCTTGTCATATACGGTGTGTGACGCTCCACTGTCCACGTGTGCATGGAGGCGTTGTTCTTTGCAGATGACCTCGAGCACGAGGGAAGGCGTTGCTTGGAGTACCAAAAGATAGTTTCATCAATAAGACCATAGGTTACATCTCAATATTCCATACACAACTTTCATTGCTATCTACTCCTGAGCTGGCAGCTGACCGAGGCTGCTTGGAGAAAGGCTCTTCTCCAAAGCCCAGAGTTTTCTTGACGGTTGTGTGTGTCACTAATGCCGAAGTTGTTGAGCTGGATGCATCCGAAGGAGAATTTCGGGGCTTTTGTAGCTTCTTGTAGACCCCTAGCTTCCTCTTCAGCTGCTTCAGCTCCATCGATGTCTTCCCTGTGGAACGGGTAATCGTTGTGGGCTGGTGTCGGGAGAGGACGTTGACTCCTTGGAAAGGTCAAATTCTTTCCACACTCCTTAATTTTTTCCCCATGTTTTCTGGTACCGGTACGATCTCCACAATTTTCTGCTTTTTTTGGAGTCCCCCCCCAAAATTTCTGCAAGGCTTTAACCCCTCGAGAATCATAAATTTTCATTAAAACATATTTATAAGATAACTTTAACGAACCATATAATTTATTGGGTCTTCAAGGAGTTTCTCCGTCTTGGCAGAGGCTTTGATTTCGCGGAGTCAATTTTTTTCTCGGCGATTTTCCCTAGCGAACACTGGTCGTGGGGTGGAGATTTCCCCCCATCATTTCCTCATTCTCACGTCGAATCAGCTTCATCGAAATTGATTTTTCTGGAATCCTATGGTCGCTTTCGGATCTTTTCTTTTTTCCCCAGCTACAGTAGATCCACAATCACTGGCGGTTCCCATTTTTTTATTTATGATTAGCCGAAGAATTTCCGCCACTATTGCATGCCCGATACTCTGCACGCGCGGCTTTCATTTCATTACAGTCGAAAATTCGATGGCCCGGCAGTCCCCAAAAATCGCACGTAAAGTTGGTGTTTTTCGCACGTGGCCGCCCGTCGAATCTGTCAAGTGTGCCGAGAGGTCGCCCTGTCGCGTACTGCCGATGTGCGCCCGTTGTGTTCCGGCGTTGACCATGTCAAACCGCTCCGCTGCTGAAACGATGTCGCTGTAGCTCGAGTAATTTGTCGCTGCTACCTGTAGTTTAACTTCGGTCTTCAGCCTGGCGAGACACGATTGTACTTTTTCTCATTCGGTCTTGTCGGGAATTCGGTTGTAAATTTCTTCCATCTCTTGCGTGTACTGCGCTAGACTCCCGAACTGTCGATGGCGATTTTTTTTTCCCAGGCAAGGAAACCGGAATTTATCGGCTGGAAACATATCAGCACGTCGGTGTGGAACTGCTGCCACGTGGCTTTACTGTGGATGAAAGTACTTTTGCCGCTAATCCACTCGAGTGCCGGCCCTCGCATCAATGTCGCCGCGAGTCGCACGCACTGACCGTCCCAGACTAGCGAGCTCCATCCGACGGCTGCGAAGTAGATCTCGATGCTGGCGATCCATCTACGGACGTCAAAGTTTCGATCGCTCGGATCGAACGGCTCAGGTGGGCGCAGCTTCGGAGCCTCGAGAAACTGGTACGACTGCTGCGTCGTCGCCGTTGTCGTTTCGTGCTGCGCGCCGACGAGTCGCGCTACTTGCTTGAATTCGTTTCGCCAAGCTTCGCGGTCTGCTCACACCTCCTCCTGTAGGGCAGCGATGTGCGCGAAGAGCTGCTGGGTAACTTCGGTATTGTCGAAGTTCGTCATCGTGTTCAAAACACGCGCGGAGGGGTTAATTAAAAAAAGTGCAGAGCTGGTGCTTACCAGAATCGGCATCAAATTAGTCGCCCCCGGCGCTTTTTTTAGGCAGGTTTTCCCGCTGCTGCTGCTTAGCTATGTGCGGCCCAGTGAGAAAAGTCTCTAATTACCAAGTGTTATAGGATCGAATTGATCGAGGAAAAGTTTTACTATTGATTGATACAAAGCGCTTTTATACTTTCAATGTACATCAACTAACCAGGTTTATCTTATCCAAAGGGGAATAGACCCTTCTAGAAATAGAATCACCTTGCGTATAGCCACGTGCGGCTATTGGCTTTAAGTGATTACAACAGGATTACACTAGATATAGCGCGCCAGTACATCCCGATTCCCAAGCCTGGTGAGTGATATAATTATAATTCATAAGATACCAAAGGATAAGGGAAAATGAGGAATATGAAACCAAATAAGACGAGATAAAGACGAAATGAATCAAGAGAAAAAGAAGAATGAGATAGAGGAGAAATATGGAAATAAGAAAAAAGTGTAATGGGGTCGTACTCTCACATTAGGTATTATATGCTTGCCAATGCATCTTTGTACCGTACACACAATTTCTTCCCTATTGAAACTCTTGCTTGCACTTTTTGAACATAGTGTACGTTGCAATATTAGGAATGTACCCAAGCACCTCTTGCGCAGCATCTCTCACCGTGGTTGTTTTTTTATGCATGGTGTAGTAAATGTGGGTCAAACACGCAACCTTCAGTTACACCAATGTTCTACCACCGTTTCTTGACTAGAGCCAGTAGCCCGTTCGAGCCCTTATGGGCGTTAGGCACGAACACCCTACAAGTGTAGGAGGCCGCCGTGAGGGAGCGCTACCGCGGTAGCGAAATCGGCGACAACGCCTTGGAGCTCATGCTGGACGGCACCCAGGCAAGGTGGGCGAGTGATCACCCACCTCCTTGTTCTGCAGAGGACAATGAGTCCACCTCTCCCCAACCTGATGACAACAACGGCACACATGCTGGTGACGGAGGCGCAAGGGTTATCCGTGGAGTTCTGCGAGGACCCGCAAGGACCAGCACAACGAGTGTTAGTGGGATGCAGGCGCAGGTCTTGCAAGCGGCGGCTGCAACAGGTGCACGTGCTGATGCTGACACTCGCCGCACATCGACTGGTTGAAGGACCACCGATCCTCCGAGGACGTCATACCCTTTGACCGCGCATGATGGAGGCATCGCTCCGGAGTACAGATACTTCAAATATTTTTCAGACAAGATTGTGGTTCCGAAACCACTTGAAGTCTGCCACGACCATACAACGTGGGTCGAAGCAATCGAGTCCCCACTGGAAATCGCGCAACTAAAGAAGTTCGTCTACGGATCGCTGGATGCGTCGCCTGAAGACGACGTTGAGAAATTCTCGCAGTTTCATTCAGCGTAGCACAGTTGCAGATGGTCGGCGTCGACTACGCTATGCCGTCCTACATCACACACGTCATGAAGCGACTTCCGCAACGTTACAATCTGTTGCGACGCATGGTAAAGCTTTCTGGGATACGTGAAGAGCTGGACGAGGATTTCCTGTAGAGCTACATCATTGAAGAAGAATTCACGATAGACTCGGAGAAGCGCAAAGGTCAGCTCCTTTCGCAAGCCAACTTCGTCGCATCATCGTAAGCTACTTATGTGATGATGTACTTAATGTAGCCATCAGAATGAGTATAAAATAGATCGGTAACCAGCCTGTTCGCAAACTTTGGTCGAGCCTGGCTTCGCTAGCTAGGGCAATGGCCGACGGATGACTTCCTCCGCGCCTTTCGCTCAGACCAATGGCACACCACCCCAGCTAGTCATTGACGAGAAACTGGATCCCCTGCGCAGCTAGTTATATGGGGTTACCAGCATGATTTCGAAATTCGCAAGCTATGGACTGGTCCGCAGCTGCAGTTGCTCCTTCGCGTCCCGTCCGCTGCACGCTCCCCTCCCCTCTCTCTGCAGCCCCTCGGACCTGAGCCACATCCCACAGCATCGCGATGCGACCTGATCTTCCAAATGTGGCGCGCCACATTTGGGAGTGGGTTGCATACAAACCCAGACAACCCACTCTAACATCGGCTCACAATAAACCAGCATCGGCAATTCCAAACAAACTTGCATCCACTTCAGACAATCCACGCAGCCATTGGCTGGCCTTTTGTTAGGACAACTACTGCAAACAACTGCTAAGAGAAGGTACCGCGATTAATACCCAGACGTGATTAGTTGAGTCCCACCATGAGGAACGGCGGCCCCACAATCGCGTTGCTGCTGATCTTCGGCGCGTTTCTGCTAGCAGCGCAGCCATCCAGCGGCGCACCACGCCAGTGGCGGCGTAACGGTGCCGAGTCCCAGCCTTTTGCGGCGCCCGCCAGAGGCAACGCGGGCAAATTCCAGGCGCCAGACACCGCCGGTTCTGCCGTGTACATCGTGCGCCTGAGCACGGCGCCCCCCCTCTCCGAATACCGCGGCGGAATTGCGGGGTACCCCGCCACTGCCACGTGGGACGACGGCAGCGACGAGGAGGAGAACGACGACGACCGCGTGCCGGAGATGCTTCTCGCGGCCGAAGATTCCGGCGCAGCTGGCGGCGAATCCGAGTCAGAGCCCGAGTCCGTCGACTTGGACGACACCAACGCCGATCAGCACTTCCCCAACGCAACTGCGCCAGCGCCAGCAGATGCGGCGCCTGAAACCAGTTCGACTTCCAGCGCACGCGGTGGTCGTGGGAATGGTGGTGGTAGCAGCAGCGGCAGCGGCGGGTGCGCGCGGCACCGGCTGCATCTGAGCATGGACCGCCCCCAGGTGGCAGCGTTCGCGTCGCTGCTGCAGCGGCAGCAGGCGCAGGTGGCATCTGAGGCGGGCGTGGACGACGGCGACCTGCTGTACAGCTTCAAGCACACGTCCAACGGCTTCGCCGCGCGCCTCACCCCGCGCCAGGCGTGGCGCCTGCAGCGCCATCCCGCCGTGGCGTCCGTGCGCCGCAGCCGCGTGTTCCAGCGGCGGACCAGCGACTCACCCAAGTTCCTGGGGCTCCCCGGGAAGGTGTGGCCCGCCGTGGGCGGACAGAGCAAGGCGGGCGACGGCACGGTGGTGGGGATCATCGACACGGGCATCTGGCCCGAACACCCCTCGTTCTCCGACAAGGGGTTTAGTTCGAACTTCCCCTCTGGGTGGAAGGGTAAATGCGAGCAGTCCAACTCGTTCCGATGCAACAACAAGGTGATCGGCGCCAAGGCGTTCTACACCGGGTTTCAGCGGGCCAGCGGCAAGCCCGCGCTGGCGAACGACTGGCTCACGCCACGAGACGCGGACGGGCATGGCACGTGGTGCGCGGGCGCGGCGGCGGGGAGCCCGGTGGGGCTGCAGGGCGGCGGGCAGGTGAGCGGCATGGCGCCGGCCGCGCGGATCGCGGCGTACAAGGTGTTCTGGACGGACCGCAGCAGCGGGGAAATGTATGCGGACGAGTCAGACATCATCGCAGCCGTCAATCAGGGCGTGGCGGACGGCGTGGATGTGCTGTCGCTGTCCCTGGGGGGCATGGATCCCAACGACAACTATTTCAACGACCTGGCTTTTATGCGGGCCAACGCTGCCGGGGTGTTCATTGCCTTTGCTGCTGGTAATGCTGGCGCTCCGGGCCAGTCGCAGGGGGGTGGTTACCGCACGGTGGACAACTTCGCACCCTTCTTTCTGACTGTGGGCGCCAGCACCATCGCACGGGGAGCGTCCCTAGCTTCGGCAGCAGCAGCAGCCAGCACTCAGTCGCTCCCCCTCAACGCCATTGCCGGCGCCGCCAGCACCAACAGCACTGTCAACTGCAACGGCACTGGCGGCGGCAACAGCACAGGCAACGGCACCATGACAGGTGATGGCAGCGGCACCACTTTCACTGCTGACGGAGGTATCACCTTCGCCACCTCCTCCTCCTCTGCCCCGGTGGTTGCTGACTTCTCGTCCCGTGGCCCCCTCATACCGCCCTCTGCCACGGCCCAGCCCCCCCAGCCAGGCAACGCCATCCTCAAGCCCGACATCATCGGCCCGGGCGTGGACCTCCTAGCCGCTGCTCCCGGGAAGAAAATCGGCGACCCCGGCGCCCTCGCCCGCCTCTCGGGTACTTCCATGGCCACCCCTCATTTGGCAGGGCTGGCCGCTTTAATCATCCAGAAATACCCCATCTGGAGCCCGGCGCAGGTGATGTCAGCGATGATGACGACGGCGCGGGTGACTGACACGAGCAGCAGCCCCATCAAGAGCTCCACTGGCGGGGATGCCACCCCCTGGGAGATGGGGGCAGGCCATGTGTTCCCCCCTGCCATGCTCAACCCCGGCCTCACCTACGACGCCCGAGACAAAGACTACCAGAATTTCCTGGCCGGGCAGGATCTGACCCGGGCGAAAAAGGAGTTCCCAGGGGTGTCGCTCTCCCCCCTGGCTGTGCGCAATCTCAACCTTCCCACCATCACTCTGCCGCGCCTGCAGGGCTCGATTCAGGTGACTCGCACGGTCACCAATGTGGGAGGGGCCCAGTCCACATACAGTGTATCTGGGAAGGCGCCAGCAGGGGTGAAGGTGACAGTGGCGCCTAAGAGCCTCACGGTTGGTGCCGGGCAGAAGGCGAGTTATACTCTGACGCTCACCGTGGATACACCCAGCAAGGACTTCAAGTACGGGTATATAGTGTGGGCGGATGACCAGGGCCACAGCGTGCGGTCCCCCCTCGTGGTGCAGCCGCTCTCGCGCTGAGGTGGGGGAGAGGGAATACTAATTGCTGCTCTTGTGCTAAAGGGGAGGGAGGAGTGCTTGCTGAATCAAGCCCTGCAGATGGCATGGCAGGGCGCATGGCATGGCTTTGACTCCTTGTTTGCATTGTTCTATGTATTCGAGATACACACTTAAAAACCCCAGCCATACATAAACAGACTCACACAAAGTTGCATGCAACGCAATCCACAAGCACTCACACACATTAACACCTAGCAAACTACTAAAACACCTGAGCCACGCACCAGAGCCACGCACCAGAAACCCAAGGCAGTGTCCAGCAAGACACCAGTTTGACTGCCCGTGAAGTGAAATCCCCTCCCCATCTTCTGAGGGCCTCACACCAGCCAAGCCTCACACCCGCCAAGCCTCACACCTGGCAAGCGTCAAGCAGTGCTGTGCAGACCCTCCTCTCCCCTCCTCTGCCATCCTCTCCCGTCCTCTCCCGTACTCTCCCCTCCCCTCCCCTCCCCTCCCCTCCCCTCCCCTCCCCTCCCCCCCCCTCCTTTCCCCTCCTCTCCCCTCCTCGCCCTGCCTCGCCCCTCCTCTCCTCTCCCCTCCTCTTCCCTCTTCTCCCCTCTCCTCCCCTCCCCTCCCTTCCCCTCCCCTCCCCTCCTCTCCTCTCCCCTCCACTCCCCTCCTCTCCCCTCCTCTCCCCTCCCCCCCTCCTCTCCAATCCCCTCCCTCCCCTCCCCTCCCTCCTCTCCCCTCCTCTCCCCTCCTCTCCCCTCCCCTCCCCTCCCCTCCTCTCCCCTCCTCTCCCCTCCTCTCCCCTCCTCTCCCCTACTCTCCCCTACTCTCCCCTCCTCTCCCTCCTCTCCCCTCTCCCCTCCTTTACCCTACTCTCCCCTCCTCTCCCCTCTCCCCTCCTCTCCCCTCTCCCCTACTCTCCCCACTTCTCCCATCTCCCCTCCTCTCCTCTCTCTCCTCCTCTCTCCTCCTCTCCCCTCCTCTCCCCTCCTCTCCCCTCCTCTCCCTCCTCTCACCTTGTCTCCCCATGACCGTGCAGATGTGGTGGCGCAACAGCTGCTGGCTGCAGCTATTGGGCTGACACCACTGATCGACCATACGAAGGAGCCTTCTCATGTCACTGCCCCTGGAAGAGTTGTTGCTCGGGGCAAACAACACATGGAATTTGGCAAACAACACATGGAATTTGGCAAACAACACATGGAATTTAGCAAACAACACATGGAATTTGGCAAACAACACATGGAATTTGGCAAACAACACATGGAATCTGGCAAACAACACATGAAAGGCCACGTAGCTTCTCATTTGGTGTGGGCACAGGACACCCACAATTGAAACTGTGACAGAATGCAGACCACTATTGGTAACAGGCTTTAGCATGTGCTGAGCTGTTTAATCCCTGGCCATTTAAAGGATGACACATGTTTGGTTTGGCTATAGTATTTCTAGATTGGCTGGTGCAAGAAAGGGAGCACAAGTCACCAGTGCAGTGCAACGTAGCTGCTGTTGTATAAATTGAATAGAACACATTGCTACATTGTTGGCCCTTGTGTGCCTGGCACGGCACACGTTTCTTCTCCTCTACAGGGGGCAAAACTCCGCCGTTATAGCCACTCCAGGGAAAACAGGAGACGCGTGCAAGTGAGGGTTCTAACAATCCTCTTATCGCTTCTGGACGAATCAGTTGAAGGAGACTCGCAGGCTGTCCACCACCTTCTCAGACCTGCACGCCACGGTATCAGATCAAACGTTCAGAATGAGAGGTTGGATCTAGAGACTTTGAACAGATCTCTCACTTAGACTCCAAACATGATCTGTGCCGCAGCAGGACAAGACAATCCCACAGGTGTGCCGAATACGTGCTGTGCAGATAGAAGCATAGTTTTGAGATGTCTGAGAGAGAGCTGCACTTTAGTCCTACAGGAGTGCCAAGTAGGGACTGGGAGTCTGAGCCGCGCTCATGGAGCAGTACACTGTCAACCACGTCCCACTGCTCCTGAGGCGCCTCAAAGCACGTCCCTCCACCCATCCACCAGCTCACCTCACCAGCCCTCCTGGGGTGTGTGCCAGGCTCTTTCCAGCACTGTCACCGTAACAGCAGCCTCGTTGGCCTTGGCTATGGCCTGGGCATCGCTCTTGGAAACGCTAGCATGGCCACCGGTCGCATCGACCTTTCTCAGGCCACGTCCCTCTACCACTATGCAATGCTCACCAGTCCTACTGGGGGGTGTGTTCGCCTCCTTCCAACACCCTTAGCGTGACAGACGAGGATTTAGCCTTAAATGTGGCCTGTGCCTCTGTCATGGGAATGTAGGAGTCAACCTTTTCCGAGCTACAGCCCTCCGCCAACTCACCAGCCCTCCTGGGCCGTGTGGCCGGCTCCCTCTAGCGCTCTCAGCGTCACAGTGGACGAGTTGGCTTCGGCTACGGCCTCTGCCTCGCTCATGAGTATGTAGGGGTCAATCTTTCCCGAACCGCATCGCTGCGCCACTCTTCCACAATCACCAGTCCTCCTGCAGGGTGTGCCCAGCTCCTTGCAACACTCTCAGCTTGACAGCGTGGCAGTAGACGAGTCCACATCCATGGCTTGAGCCGCGCTGATGGGGATGTGGGGGTTGTCCTTACGGCTCATGCATGGGGATGTGGGGGCTGTCCTTACGGCTCATGCATGGGGATGTGGCTTGCCCCATGCACTCACGGCTCTACCCTCCTACAATCTCCAACTCACCAGTCCTCCTGGGGGGTGTGCCCGGCTCCCTCTAGCACTCTCAGCGTCACAGAGGACGAGTTGGCTTTGGCTACAGCCTGGGCCTCGCTCATGGGAATGTAGGGGTCGTCCTTGCCCCATGCAATCACTGTGGGTACCGTCCAGCTGTGCAGAGCGGTGCAGTGCGGTGGAGGGTATGAAGACACACAGAGGAGCACAGAGGGGGAATGCGGAGTGTTGACAGAAGTAGTGAGTGGAGATGAAAGCAGTGAGTGGAGATGAAAGCAGTGAGTGGAGATGAAAGCAGTGAGCGGAGATGAAAGCAGTGAGCGGAGATGAAAGCAGGGAGCGGAGTGGGGGGCGTGAAGGGCTGCGCTACCTGGGGGACGAGAGGGCGCTCTGGATCCTCTCCCCGACCTGCTTGGGGTTGGCCTTGCGGGCCGTCTCCAGGAGGGCTGGGGGGAGCAGGGAGAGGGGGAGACATGAGGAGGGTGTCAAGTCAACGAGACATGCAGCAGGGAAGGGCGGAAAAGCTGCTTGGGTTTGGCCTTGCGGGCCATCTCCAGGAGGACTAGGAGGAGGAGGGAGAGGGGGAAAGTAAAACAGACGGGGCATGTAGCAGGGCGGAGTGGAAAAGCTGCTTGGAGTTGGCCTTGCGAGCTGTGCCCAGAAGGGCAGACAGCTGTTTTCCCCCTCTCCCTACCCGCACCATGGGCAGGGCATTAGCACTAAAAATCGTATTTCAGGGCAGTGTTACCGAATCGGGGGTCGCCACTGCCGGGATATGCCCGGACAGGATCCCACAAGGATCTCTCCTCCATGCGCTGAGCTGGATGCCAAAAGCGCTGTACTCTTTATTGAATGCTCTCTTTCTCTCTTACCGAAACCAGGTTCACCGCTGTCGAGGTATGGCAGGCGGTACACATCAGCGTTGTCGAGCTCTAGGGAGTAGCTGCAGTGGGGAGAGGAGGACAGAGGAAGGAGGGGAGGGGAGGGAAAGGCATAATGATGAGAGAGAGGGAGAAAGGGAGGTACACGTCAGCATTGCCGAGCTCTAGGGAGTAGCTGCGGTGGGGGGATGGGCAGGGGAGAACGGGAGGGAATGGAAGGAAGGGAAGGGAGGAAGGGAGGGGAGGGAGGGGAGGAAAGTAAGGGAAGGGAGGGAGAGAGGGGGAAAGTGAGGAGGGAAGGAAGTGAGCCATGAGCATTGTGCAGCTGAGGGAGTCGCTGACGCAGGAGGCAGGGGTTTGAGAGAGGGAAGGGAAAGCATTTGGTCGATGGATGGATGGGTGGATGGAAAGATGGGTGGGTGGATGGGTGGATGGATGGATAGGTGGATGGATGGGTGGGTGGGTGGATGGGTGGATGGATGGATGGGTGGATGGATGGATGGGTGGGAGGATGAGTGGATGGACAAGTCAAAGCCTTCCCTATCAGCTGAAGGTTACTCACCGTCTGTACTTTTCAAAAAGCCACTCTGCATTTCATCCTCCCACCCGCCCAACCCCCCACACTCTCAAACCTCCCGCCCAGCCTACTCACGGGCTGCCCTTCTCAATGAACCGCTCTGCCAGCACGGCGTTCTGGCACTGGAACTCGCCCACGAACGGCATTCTGGGGGGGAATGTAAGAGGGATGGGGGGGGGCGGAAAGGGCGAGGGGAGATACGTGTGTGAGACACGGGTGTGGCACTGGACCAGCTCGGCGTTCTGGCACTGCAACTCGCCCACGAATATCAGCCTGGTGTGCCGGGGTATAAGGGCCGGGGGGGCAGAACTGGCGAGGGCTTGAGGGGACACGACGCGTGAACTTGATATTTGCGGTACAGCCTGACGTCTAGGTCTAAGCACACCGCTGGTACCAGCAACATCACTCCACCAAACCACCTGGTTGGCCTCCATGTGTTTGATACTCCCCTCCCTTTCCACTCTTCACGATTTTATGATCCCTTTTCGCCCCTGGTGCTTTATTCGCATCCTTCGCGTCCCTTTCCTACAAGCAACTGAGTCAACCTGACCCCACCTGGTCTGTTGCGAGCACCTGAGCTGTTGGAATATTTGGGGCAGGGGAGAGGACCCCGACAGCGGCGTGTTGAGGATGGCCAGCCCCTTGAGCCTCTCAGCGTTCTTGAGAGCCCATGTGAGGCCGTAGCTGCCTACGAGATAGCCCTGCAGAGGCAATGGAGAGGGGAGATGAAGAGGAGGAGGGAGTGTAACTTTGAAGCGAGAAAGCGATGTGTTGAGGATGGCCAGCCCCTTGAGCCTCCCAGCGTTCTTGAGAGCCCACGTCAGGCCGTAGCTGCCTACGGGATAGCCCTGCAGGGGAAAAGGGAGAGGGGCGAAGAGGGCAAGGAAGAGGTGAGGAGGGCGAGAGCGGTGTTGTTGAGAATGGCCAGCCCCATGTTTCTTGAGAGCCCACGTGAGGCCGTAGCTTCCTACAAGGTAGCCCTGGTGGAGGAAGGAGAGGGGACAAGGCCCAGGGAGGGAGGAGGAGGGCGACAGTGCTGTGATGAGGCCGTGCAACAACAAAAACAAAAAAATTAACATCATGGGGTCTGAAACTCATTTGCATGGCTGTGTCGACAGGCTCCAACGCTGTGTCAAGACGGCTCGGTACAAGGCTCCAACGTGGCGTCAAGACGGCTTGATATAAGACTCCAATGTGGTGTCAAGATGGCTCGATATAAGGCCCTTTCACTCACATGCACTACAAGGTAGAAGGGCTCTGTCACGCTCAGGGTTTCCAAGAGACGATCCAACTCTTGGTGATACGCCTCCTCTGGTTGCATTGTATTGGAAGGTGGGACGGGAAAGAAGAAGGGGGCGGGGAAAGAAAAAAAAGGGGGGGGGAGGAGGAGGGGGGGGAGAAAGAGGAGGGGGAGGAAGAGGAGGGGGAGGGGGAGGACATGGCGATGCAAGAGAGTAAGACGAGATGAACGAGGGGAAACTTCTGCGAGACAAGTATTTGTCCATAAACCCTTAACTCTTGCCCTCCCGGCGTTTCCTTCCTCCATTTCCTCTTCTCTCTTCTTCATTCCACTCTTCCCATCGCCCCCATCCGCCCTCACCCGTGTAAGCAAAGTAGTACCCCGGCTGAGGCTTTTCCGAGAAGCCATATCCGATCCAGTCAGGCGCAATGCCCCTGTAGCCCTTCTCCGCCATCTGGGCAGCGGCGCCAAGGCGCAAGGGAGGGGGGAATGGAGGCGCACGGGAGGGGGGATGGAGGCGCGAGGGAGGGGGGATGGAGGCGCAAGGGAGGGGGGATGGAGGCGCAAGGGAGGGGGGATGGTGGCGCAAGGGAGGGGGGATGGAGGCGCAAGGCAGCGTGCCTGGCTGCCTGTGTGAGTGTGCGTGCCTGTGTGTGTGCACGTCTGTGTGCGTGCACGTCTGTGTGTGTGC